GTTAATATTTAACATAGCCTAGTTGAGTGTTGTTTGCAACACAAGTACAATATATAGTATTGTGACTTTTTTGTTTAAAATCTATTTCCTGTTTGTTTGTTTTTTTGTTTGTTTGTAAAATTTTTCAAGAACATCTGGACAGATTTCAATGAAACTCTCAGAAAGTAGGCTAACAACTGAACATAAACATCTAACTGATGACTCAGTTTTACAGAGCCAACCAAACACAAACAGGTTTTCATTACAGGGAGTTTTGCAGATATTTATATAAATTTTGTAGTGGAATTATAACATACCATGAAATCACAACGACATATTTTCTCGTAATGATTTTAGTCTAAAACTCTGACACGAAATGCATTTCTTCGGGGAATATGTTGGAAATAAGTCCTTTATTTTCATTCTGTTTACAGTCAGAGGGTTAGAAGAGGTTGTGGTTTTTGTTAAACAAGGAGAGTGATACCTCTGTATTTTTCCTATCTCTGGCTGCAGCCACAGGTTGATCACCTGTTTCTCTCAGCGCTGTGGGAACGCACGAGCTCCACGCAGCAGCAGCCAGCCGTGGCGGTCGGGCGCGCGCCTCCATACCAACACATTCATCCAGAGCACAAAGGAATGGAACTGGCTCCGCGACTTACCTAAGCTCCGCCCCTCGCTGCGCTCAGGTGGGGACCACGAGCGGCGGAGCAGAGCCTTCAGACGCCACGTCAACCACAACAAACAAACTCGGACTCAAGCAGTAGTTTCCGGTCGCTGCCGGGCTCACACCATGCTGGACCCGTCATCCAGCGACGACACAGGCGGGGAGTCCGACCAAGAAGTTGTCCGGGAGCCTCGGAGAACACCTGCCGCTTCCTCGGTCACGGAGAAGCGGGGACACAGCGGCCGTTCGGGCAGACAGCAGCTGCAGCTTCCCACCCCTGGAGCCGCAGCCCCCGGCAAAGGAGCGAAGAAGAGCCATGAGGAGGAGGAGGAGGAGGAGGAGGAGTGGAAGGAGCGCGAGCGTTTTCAGAAGGAGGAAGAGGAGAGGAAAATGAACCTGCAGATTTACGTGTTCGTTCTGCGGTGCATCGCCTACCCGTTCAACGCCAAGCAGCCCACTGACATGACCCGGAGGCAGCAAAAGGTGAGCTACACACACACACACACACACACACACACACACACACACACACACACACACACACACACACACACA